TTTTTTTTTTTTTTTTGCAATAAGCACTCATCACTTATGTAAGCAGAACCAAAAAATACACAATAAGATAAATCCAATTACTTTACAAAATTACATGTAAGTCCATCTTTGACAATGACACCTAAGAGATGCAAAGTAGCTTGAGATTTCATAATTTGCGGACTCCTTAGTAAATGCGATGTCCTTTACAGAACAGAAATCTATTGTTTGAGTTTTGCGAAATCAGCTTTAAACACATTTCCAAGAATGCTTTATGTGTGAAGGTTGGGCAACTTGCTTGGGGCTCTGCTCAAATGACTTCAGGAAGTGGAAAAATTGCAGTGGCTAAGATTCCCTGGATGTACCCACGGTGCGCTGGGTGCCAGGGTCTCAGGGGGGTGGGGGTGGGGGTGGTATCTTCAGGGCTTTCAGCCACTCAATCTTCCCTCCACCTTCTGGCTTCAGCATCACTGTCCCTTTTTCAGATGAAGGATCTGAGTTTCAGAGTGGCTAAGCAGAATATGCAGGACACCCAGCTAGTAGGCGACATTGCCAGGACTTGAGTGCAGGCTTGCTGACCACAACACTCCTTCAAGCTGGGATTGAGGCCAGTTTGAGAAAGGGCAAGGGGGTACGCTTTGGAACCAGTCTGGGTTTGAGCCAATGGCTAACTCTTCCTTAGGCTTTCTGGGACTCTGTTTCCCCATCTCTGAAAGGGGAATAGAGTTGTACAGTTTTCACGAGTTAGTTTAGATAAGCCATGTAGACCTTTGCCATGGGCCACATGTGGCATCTGAGCTCTTGATATGTGGCAGATCCTAATCCAGATGAGCTATCAATGGTGAACGCACACTGATTTTGAAGACTTAGGTAAAACAACACATCACTGGGTTGGTTTTTTTTTAAATTCAAGTTAGACGCAGTGTACTCTTGGCTTCACGAGTAGAAGCCGGTGATTCATCGCTTACATATGACACCCAGTGCTCATCCCAAAAAGCGCCCTCCTTAATGCCCATCACCCACCCAACCCATCCCCCCACCCACCTCCCTCCGGCAACCCTCAGTTTGTTCTCTGTATTTAAAGAGTCTCTTATGGTTTGCCTCCTCTGTTTTTATCTTCCTTTTCCTTCCCTTCTCCTATGTTCATCTGTTGAGTTTCTCCAATTCCACATATGAGTGAAATCATATGATATCTGTCTCTCTCTGACTTATTTCGCTTAGTATAATACC